ATCAGATATTTTTACGATTATAAGTCCTTCCTCTTTCCTTTATACCTAAAAAGATTTGTGTATAAACTAAGGCATGTGACTCTATCGAAGAAAAATATACAAATAATGAAAAGGAAAGAAAGATGAGTTCCCTAGTCCAACATCTTGGAACCAAGATCCTCTCCAAGATCTTACGTTAAGATTTGGCACTAGATCTTGAAAAAATGGGTACAGGATCTCAAGACATTTGTGTACCCAAGATCTTGCGCACGATCTTGGGTACAGATATTTCCAGATCCTGTGAACAAGCCTTCAAGATGTTCCAGGATCCTTTGATGTGATATTTTCCAGATCTGATCTTGAACCAAGATCTTGGGTACATACCAGCAAGATATTCCTGATCTTTGCCCAACATCTTGTGCATAAGATCCTCTTGAAGTTCCTGTATTTCCAGTGGATGTTTGTTATACATCTATACATTGAACCTAACGAGTATGTTCAGTGTATGAGTTGGTTCTTTTGCTGTTCATTTTCACCTCTCAGTTCACTTCACATTAGAATTAATTCTTCTTATTTCTTTATTGCACACATACAAAAAAGACGCCTCTATTACGAAGTAAAGGATGAAATGTTTTAACAGAAAATAAGATATCTATCAACAGAAAAAAGCCTTATAAAAAGTAGAGGAAAAAATCTGTATTTTGACAAAAAAGAATAAAGCTATTATCACATAAAGAAAAAAGCTGTTCTATTAGTTAATCCCTACTGGCATAAAAGAATCTTGAATCTGACAAAAAATAACAAGAGAAACAAAAACTCTGGTTGTGACATAAACAAAAAAAATGTCTAGTTCAATTTGACTGATTAGAAAAACGTTTAATTACAACCATACCAGAAAAAAGAAGTAATCAATCAAAATCAAGAAAAGAAATCACACTTCATTACAGAAAAAAGTTTGTTTACGTCTGATAACAAAGAGAAGTTACTGTTAATGAATTTGTTTCTTATTCGGGTGGAGCTTCCCGAGGTGTTTCAGCTAACGTTTCTTGAGTGACTAATAGTGCTACTGGTGTCGGAAGTGTGACAGGATCAGTAGTTTTTGCTGATGGTATGATTGTTGAGGATTTCGGTGAAGTTTTTGATAATCTCGAATATTTCACTGCATCGTATTGAAACTGATCCATTGATTTAATAACAGCAGCCCATATGTTGCCAATGTCTTCGTCGACGATTAAACATTTTTGTTGAATATATTCTAAATTAGAGAAGTAATAGCATCTTTAGGAAAGGTTCATTCGATTATGATGAGTACGAAGGGACGTCTACAGAGATAGAGGCTACCGGCGGCACTCCTTAGCTGTTTTTTCATTCAGAGTCCAAATTCTGGGATCGAATACGGTAACCCCGACTTTATATAATGTCTGTAAACAAAATGTCCGTCAAGGACTTCAGCGAAAAAGACATGGTTTTCTCCATTCCTCTCTCTTCTGTTTACAGGAGCGCAGCATTGGCTTACTTTTCAACAAAGCTTGATTTGGCATTATAAGTTGTTCCCATTGCTTTAAATCTTTTCCAGTTTTTTTGTACAACTCTCGAATGATCATTGTTGGACGATGTAGAGGAGCTTTAATTGTTTTTGGATCAACTTCAAATGCAGCCTAAACAAACGAAAATCAGTAAAAAGGAGCGAGATGCAGAGAGGAATGAAGTGTTACCTTGACTTGTTCCGACAGTTCTTCGAATGTACTTTCATCAGCAACAACGTTTGAGCTAGATGCCTAAAGAAGGAAAAAAAGAAAGCACGTTGAAGTAAAATGTTTATTCTAGCACAGAATTCAATTACTCACAGTCGACACTGTACTTTGACTTTTTTTAAAAACACCATATATTTTTTCTAATTTAGCCAAACGTTTTTTAACTATTTCAAGTTCACTGGTCAAAGCTTTAGTATCTTGATTTGGCTCTAAACAATGAAAGACTGCATGGAATAAGGTTTTTTTATCTAACTTGACCCGTTCATTCCCGAATTTTGTTTGAGTTAAATTTATTTATACGTCATGAACAACTCCAGATATTAACGTGCGGTTTTCAACAATCGATATCCAGGACTCTAAGCCTTCCTCCCTTTCGGGAAGCTCTCATAATCCCTACGAGAAAGTACCTGTTGGACCGGCGAAGTGGACTGCCAAAACTGCCTGTTTTGGTGGCTGAAAATACCTTTTTATGGATCGAGAACTTGCATTTTCTCAGAAAAGTTTCTTTCCCCTGTTCGCTTCTAGCCCCTGTTGATATCGCCGAATGTCTGATCTGTCCTCCTCCCTCGAATATTAACCCATTCATTCCCGATTTTTGTTTGAGTTAAATTTATTTATACGTCATGAACAACTCCAGATATTAACGTGCGGTTTTCAACAATCGATATCCAGGACTCTAAGCTATGTTTTCATAA